AATTTTTTATAGTTTATTATAACGTTATATAATTTTTTTTATAATGTTTATATATTTTTATATAATTTGTTACAATGTTATATAATTTTGTTTTTAGGATGAACAAAGCTTCAAACCACGCTCACATAAATACATAGAGGTCGATGAGATTATTCTCCCATATTTGATTCAAGCAGGTTTCAGTCACGTCATCAATATTACTTCATATGGAATTGATCGAAAATTTCTTCTCGCCTTGTGCGAAAGATGGAGACCAAAAAACCCACACATTTCACTTTCTCACAAGTGAATACACCGTCCCTTTGGAGGATGTCCATATGTTGTTAGGTCTGCATGTGGATGGATTGACGGTTATTGGCTACACAAACGTGGATTACGATAAAATTGAAGAACTATTGGGAGTGCCTTTGGAGGACGATGATATAAAGGGGCAATGCATTAAAATTACATGGCTAAGGAAACATTACAAAGCTTTGACATTGGACGAGGACTCTCCCGAGGAACTGAAAAATTATTAAAATTAGAATGTATAGTTTATTTCTTTTTGCATGCTTAGTATTTCCTGATACTAATGGTAACACTATCCATCTTCAATTTTTACCATTATTAGAAGATATACATAAAATAGGTATATATAGTTGGGGGGCTGCTACTTTAGCGCATCTATACAGAAATTGTGTAGATGCGCTAAAAAATATGCATAATTTTACTGGTTATGGAGTTTTGATTCAAGCTTGGGGATGGTCTAGAATGCCAAGACTGACACCAACAAACCTCAATCCATACCACTTTCCGTATGCGACCAAGTATGTATACAAAATTTATTTCTTTATATTTTTTATATATAATTTTTACTAACTATTTATTTTATAGGTGGTCCGCATATGAGATGAATTACGACAAAACCCCTCATCATTGTTCTCCTGGATATCAGACGTTCTTCGATCATTTTGAGGCGGATGATGTATTATCTCTAATACTTATACTACTAACAGTAACTTTTATTTATAATTTTTTTAACTAATCCTTTTTTCAATTACATTACAGTTTTTGTGGAGGCCATATCTTGGACTTGAAGATGAGGATCCAACTGAAAGTGACATGTAGAGTTCTACAACATTTATAATTTGTTTCACTTATGTTAAAATGCATCATTCAGATAGGTGAAACTCCAATTTGAGATTTAGCAAGATATTCACAGTCCACCTAAGTGAATGGAGAAGTACCACAAGAGTCAAACGACGGAGCAATAAGAATTCGACAATTGGAGAGACCATAATAGAGAAGAACGTCAACAATGGAAAAATCGTCGCCAAACTGTCTTACAAGGAGATGTCATGGAAATCAAATGTAAACCCAGTAGGGAATACATGAATTGGTATAGATCTGTGACCAATTTGTATCTATCACAAAGTAGCTACTTATTTGACCCACCCAAGCAACCCACGTCTTCAAACTTCCAACACACCAGACCAATATGTAACACCTAACCATAAACATTTAACACCATACTATAAATATTTAACACCCAACCATAACACCCAACAACCTCTCAACCCAACACAACAACCTTATATCCCAAGCCAACACTACCATCAACCATACATATCATTTAACCCAACACCCAACAACAAAACCCATCATCTTCATACACCCAACAACATACAAAATTCACCACCCAATATAACCAATATTCATTCTCTCAATCTACCCCACAAGAACACAACTACCAACACTCTAACCACAAGTCCCTTTTTACCCCTCACAAACCTTCACCCTTAATTCATCTCATGACCAACACGCATACACCCCCTACATGACTAACACAATGCCACCTACCACCCTACCAAATTGGAGTAATGAGGGAATAAGATTAAGTTATGGCAGTGCAGCGACAATACCAACTGCGGACGAGTTTAGTGATGATATGGTCACTGAATTCATGAATCCTAGGAATGATGCAGGACCTTCTACTCAACATACGAATGTTGACGAAAATCGTAGAAGGTCCTCCCGAATTGGACAGGCTCCTGCATGTGGAACCCACCAATGCTTTCATCGCCCGGGTCAAAATTAAGGATAGATAAGAGTTTAATGTACTCTTTTTCTCATGAATAAATAAATATTTATTTCAATTATTATTTTTTTATTTTATTATATTATATTTATTTATTATATATAATTTTAATTACAAAATTAATTAATTAAACTATTTATAATTTTATAACTATTATTTATAATTATTATTTATTTATTTAATTAAAACATAATTATTGTATTTTAAATTTCTACTTGTTAATTTAATTACACAATTAAATAAAATTATAAAAAAAATTGTGTAGCCACTACCCCCCATTAAAAGGGTGACACCTTTAATTTTTAAACAATACCACCCATTGAAATGACGATATCCTTGTAACAAAAACGAAATTTTTTTAAAAAGATGGTAGTTTGATATTTTTGATGAAATATATTGTAGTATGATATTTTTGTTTTAAAATAATAGTAAAGCAGTGACAAATTCATCTTTTGAAATGAGATCCAAACATATTTAACATAATATTAGAGATAAATTAAAGACTGCACGAATTAAACTCAAATTTCACATGAGGCGTGTGGAAGTGTTTTGAATTTATATTGTAGTTTCATATTGTTTAGGTTACTAAATAATTGAATATATAACGGAAAGATTCTATAATAGAAAGATGTTGAAATTATGTTGAAATCCTACCTTACTTAAATTCATATATTGAATATATAAACACAACTTCATATTTTGAACTACCTTTTAGTATGAAATCATCTAACACTTTTCAACCAATTTCAATCTTATCAAAACCATAAATTACGCATTAAACACAAACCAAAACCCAACACTTGCACTACTTCTGTATCATTTATTCATCTTTTAGTCCATAAACATTCACAAGTACCTTTAAAATGACATTTCTCACCAAAGAGTTGCACCCCTTGAAAAATCTATTTTTAGTAATTTTTTTGCTTATTGATTAAATTGAGTATAATATTTTTTATAATTTGTTTTTCTTCTTCTTTATACTTGATACTTGTAACAATTATTGTCTTTATAATGCATCAATTAATTTTGTCTGGTAATTTACAAATAAATTTTTAATTGGAATAACTGTCATATATATATTCCACCCTTTGGTGTCTTTTCATGAGAAAATACAAGATCTAAAGAATATATTATGTAGATATTATTACATTTCTCTTTATAATTCTCTAACTCAATTTGGTTATTATTTTGAGTCCATCAAACAAAAGAATAGAATATGCAGCAACTATTAAATAAATCAACTGTTACATATTCATTCCAATTGTACTTAGACAGAAACATACCTGTCCTAATATTAGCTTCTTCTCACAGCCAAGCATGCTTTATAATTTGATACCTTGTGTCTTTTTCTTTCACAATATCAAAATACTATTCTTCTTATTTTTCGAACCTTGTTACTTTTTTTTCTTTATTATTATGGACTCTCCACCATGCTAGACCTAAGGAATTTCTTTGTTGTATTTTTGAATCTTATTCTTGTAGACTTGACCCTACTATCCACTCATAATGCAAATGAAATTAATGCATAGAAATATATATATATATATATATAGTTGTATACACACACGTGTGATTAACTATGTGTTCATTGTTTGTATACAAGGTAGCAAGCATGTGCTAATGATATATATGCTTTGTGGTTTTTATAATTTGCTTTAGAACATGATTTAAAGGTTTCCTAATATTGTTGTTTTGTTTTTCCTGTTTTCTATACCACTAAGTTACAATAAAAATATACTCATATATGTGATATTTCTAGACCCGAAATATCACATCAAACGCTCTAGGGGTAGGATGATTAGGTTTAATCAAATATATCAAACTAAAACTTCCTTTCAATAAATTTAAGAAGCATTTAATTTGTGAGTGGAAATTCATAACACACTAACAACGGTTAAATATGGTTGATGCCTTCTTCTCTTTCCCCCTAGCTAGGTCTCAACTCATTCTAGCAAAACAATCAATCTATACAAGAAAAAAAAAGCAAGCAATAAGAGAGAAAAGCATAATCTTAAATGCTTCTTCTTTCTTCTCTTTCACTAGCTAATTAAAATGGAGACAAGATGCTCTCATCAAATATCAATCATTCCATTCATCTCTTTTATTTCTCCACTTCATATATCTTTTAATAAAGGGCCCCTCCACATACAAATAATGCCACAATATTGTATTTAGAATCTAGAACCCATTTTCATTTTTAATATATATAATAAAATAAAGTAGTTCCACGAGAATCAATCCTTTTGGTCCTCACTAATATATGCTTCTTTTATTGGAGCCATCTTCACCCTCAAAATCAAGGTGATGGATGATATTTAGGAAAAAACCAAATTCCAAAAGCATCTCTAGGAATTATTTCAAGAGTGTGCCCTTAACGCGCTTAAAAAATATCGATAGGATATCAAATATTAATTTAATAAAAAATATAAATTTTATATTTATATTATTGTAAACCGTTATCTATCAAATATCAGTCATGTGGTAAGAATCTGATCTTATAATCACAAATGACAGAATTTAAATATTTTTAGTATTAGTGTAAATTTGTTAGCAAATAGCATATAAATATATATATATATATATATATATATATATATATATATATATATATATATATATATATATATATATATATATATATATATATATATATATATATATATATATATATATATATATATATATATATATATATATATATATATATATATATATAAAAGTAAAAAAAAAACAAAGTCAAAGATATATAGAATCTACAAAGTACTTGTCTAGAAGAGAAACAAAAAACATTATGGTAATTTGTTATCCACTATACAATGAGTCTCTCATTTATATTACATCACAACAAAAGAGAGACTCTTATATTATATATTTTTATGCTCCATCTTACCCCTTAATTAAGCTACTTAACTCAACAACAAAACTATAACTCAAATGGTTTCTTTACTAAGTTAACATTTGTGGATACTTCTTTTGTTGACAACTTGCAAGAATCAGAACTTTTTGGTTCTGCCTCAATCAGAAGCTGAACAACCTCTTTCATGGTTGGTCTACTCGCCGGTGCTTTGTAACTGCATCGGATCGCAATTCTCAAAACCTTAACCATGTCATCTTTGAATGAACATGATAGCTTTGGATCAAAAACTTCACTTGGTCTAGCTCCTTCTTTGCCTTCTACTTTGTTTGAAACCCAAAAGACAATGTTTCTGTTTTCTCCAAATTCTGACTCTATTGGCTTTCTCCCAGTTAACAGTTCCATCAAAATCACACCAAAGCTGTACACATCACACTTTGTTGTGGCCCTTGGTGAATATGCATATTCTGTCACACAATCAAAACAAATATTCAACAAATTTACAATTTCATAATAAGATTACTTAACACTTAAGTTAACCATTTTTTTTCTTGAAAACCCTCTATCCAACCCTAGGAATAACTAGGCCAATCCCACCGTCCACCTGCGGAGATAGGACTTGCCTGACACAAAAAATTGTTAGCACCTAACAGGATTTAGACCTGATGTTTCAAACCTTCGTCAACCGACAAACTCCTGAAGTTACACTTACGTTAACCACATAACTAATTCACAAATAGTAAATTACTCATAAAATATGAAATCACATGAGAGTGAGAGTTTATTTACCTGGGGCTAGGTAACCATAAGTTCCTGCAATGACAGTGGTAGTGGAATCCTTTCCACCTCTTGCTTGCAAAACCTTAGCAATCCCAAAATCAGCAACCTTAGGATGATAATCTTCATCCAAGAGAATATTAGTTGACTTAATATCTCTATGGATGATAGGAAAAACCAAATCATGATGAAGGTATGCAAGACCTTGAGCAATTCCAAGTGCAATCCTATGCCTTGTAGGCCAATCCAAATGAATCCAACCCTTGTGAAGTGAATCATACAAAGTACCATTTGGCATGTACTCATAAACCAACAAACTACAATCCAAACTTGAGAAGCAACAATATAACTTAACTATGTTCTTGTGTCTTATGCTTCCTAATGTTTCCACCTCAGCTTTCAATGCTTTGTCCACGAATAACGCGTCTTCGGGCGACGAATCCTTCGAGCTTCGGCTCCAAAGGCGTTTAACCGCGACAACATCGCCACTTTTCAGCTCGATTTTGTATACGGTCCCGGACCCTCCATGTCCCATAATGTTCTTATCTACCAAAGACTCAACAATCTCTCTTTGATCAAAGCTAATCATGTGAAAGCTCTTGACATCATAAGAGAAAAAGGATGAAGAGAGTGTGTCTTCGTGCTCGACCGCAGCCGCGTCTTTGCTGCATCTTTTTTTCAAGAACAAAGCAGCACCTACAAAAATCAATATCACAGACACACCAGCCACCCAGATAGTGTTCATCTTCTTACTCTTGTAACCATGTGAACATAGTGGAAAGTTTTTTTGATCAGACGAATTCGCATACACCGGAATCACCACGCATAAACCAGGATTTCCTGCAAAGCTTTCAACTAAACCTCCTTTAATCAGCTTAGGAGGAATTGGACCAGAAAGAAGATTGTGTGAGAAGTTAATGGAATTCGGCAACAACACGGAGAGGCTTTCGGGGATGTTTCCGGTTAAAAGATTATTCGAAAGATCAAGAAGGTTAAGTGATTCCAAAGAAGAAAGTGAACCAGGAATAGAAGAATTCAACTTGTTGCCTTGCAGCATAAGCAAGTTAAGCTTTCTAAGGTTTCCGATTTCCGAAGGGATTGGACCGTAAAGAAAGTTATAACTGAAATCAATTTTGACAAGGCTATAAGCTCTAGAGATTGTTGGTGTGATTTCTCCTGAAATCTTGTTCCTCTGAAGGAAAAGTTCAGATAAGTTTCTAGAGTTTCCGTTAATCTCGGGAATCGAACCGGTTAAATTGTTACTACTCAAATCAATGATTGAAACATGAGGTAAACTCAAGAGTCCTTTTGGAACTGAACCTTGTAACCGGTTATTACTGACACGAAACCGTAACAGAAACATGCAGTTCGCGTAACTTTCTGGTATAAAACCAGATAAAAAGTTATCCAAAACAAGAAAATATAACAGTTTACCTCCTTCACAGACATGTTCTGGTAAAGGACCAGACAATTTGTTTTCAGACAAATCAACAAGAGCCAATCCTGATAACTGTCCTAGTTTCTTAGGAATATGTCCGCTTAAGAAATTGTCGTAAAGCGACAACATTCGGAGTGTTGTTGAGGTTTCGATTTCATCTGGAATTTGGCCTGTGAGACTGTTATTGTAAAGCTGAAGAACTTGAAGCTTTGGAAGTTTACAAACAGAAGAAGGGATTGTTCCGGTTAGCTTGTTTACCGACATATCCAAATCGATGAGTTCGGTTAAGTTTCCGAGCTCTTCTGGAATGTTACCAACAAGGTGGTAGTTATAGTAAAGTTCAAGCTGTTGCAAGTTTTTCAACAAACCAAGTTCTTTTGGAATTTGACCTGTGAGGAAGTTTCCACTCAATTCAAGATCAATGAGAGTTGTTATGTTTGATATGGATGGTGGAATTTGACCATGCAACATGCATGTTGAGAGAACCATGGACTTGAGATTTTTCAATCTTTCAAAGCTTTTAGGTAACTCCCATAGATTGAAACCGTTATTTTCGTTGAAGTTGAGAATTTCGAGGTTTGTGAGATTGAAAACTGACATAGGGAAGTCCCCGGTGAAGGAGTTGTACGATAAGTCGAGGATTCTGAGAGACTTCAAAGACGAGAAATCCGGAAGTGTTCCTGACTGGTGCATCTGGTTCATGATTAACTGTTCTATACGAGAACAGTTGATTATGTTGTTTATTGGAAACTTGACTTTTGTCTTACCGAGGTTTAGGACGCGTAAATTTGGAAGGTAAGAACAAAAATCGGAAGGGAAATTTCCGGAAAGAGACGACCAACCTGAAAAATCGAGTTTTATAATATCGTGTTTATCATCGCATGTGATTCCGGTGAAATCGCATATTGGTTTTTGGACTTTGCTTGCGCCCCAATCAAAAGGATAGTTTCCTGACAAAGAGTCTTTCATGACAGAAAAAAACTGAGTTTGGTTTGTATTGATAGCATGTGATATGTTGATCATGAAAAAAACAAGAAGTATGAGTCTAAAGAAGTGAGTCATTTTGATTTTTGAGGAGAGAGAGAGAGAGAGAGAATTTGAAGTGTGAGAGATTTTGCAAAGAAAGAGAAGAGTGAGAGATGTATATAAGATGGAAAGATTTGAGTGGATGAGTTTGGGAAAAGTAGGTTCTTGTTGTAGTATTAGTATTGGAGGAGAGAGGGGTGAACATCTTTTGGTAAAGGGACTTTATGTTTATACTCTATTCCACTATGTGTAAAGGGGAATAAAGGGTGATTATATTAGAGTATAGGGATAAAAAAGGAAGTGAAATAATTGTGTTTATGAGATAGATGCAAGAGAGAAAAGAAAGGAATTGTGATAGGGATATTATGGAACAAGAAATATCATAAAAGGAGATTGAAAAGATAATAATTGGAGAAGGTATTTATGTGAAAGTATACTTTATGCTAATATATCATGAAGAATAAAACTTCATGTGATTCTAACAACTTTTTGTTTCATAGAGTTTAGATCATCTCTTAAGTTTTTATGTGTATATGATTTTGAAGTGTAATTTATATTAAAAGAGGTTAGTTAAGCTAAATGTTTCAATTAGTAATTAATTAATTAAGTTGATTAGTTTGTTGAGTCTAGTTAGTGGTTCTAAGCTTAACTAGTAGTGTATAAATACTCATCACGTGAACATTAGGGAAATATAACAAGTGAATGTGAAATACAATTATTTTTTTTATCTCTTTCTCTTTTATGTATGAGTATAATTTTAATTACAAGAACTTCAAAATTTTGAATTTATGAGTGTTCAAGATTTAGCATCCATTATATTTGTTAATTAAGTGAACAATGTCTTTCGAGAATCTTAGAGTGTTAATGAGAAACTTTTCGTTGGAGAAGGCAAATATTCGTGATCTTTAGATTTAAGGATGTAATGGAAACAGTGTAAATATGTGAATTTTTTTTTTTTAAAATAATCTATTTTTTAAATTTAAATATCAAATAAATTAGATTTTCAAAATATTTACCAAAATAATTATATTTCAATATAATATAAGGAGAAGGTGTCATTTGAAATGTCATCTACACTAATTTTTGCATCCATGCGCCATTTGATTTGTAGTGTCCATGTCACATAAGCCATATGAAATGACGCTATTTTATGAACTCGTAACTCATGTGCTATTTCATATGACGCATCCTCTTCCCCTATTTTTTTTAAATAATGTGTGTATGCATCATTTCATATGGCTACTACTTACACATTATAAATACAAACACAACACCGCCTCCTCTTCATTTCTCGCAATTCTTATCCTTCCATTTTTTTATAATCTCCTCCCATTTTACTTTCAAAATGACTTCCTCTTCTTCCTCTTCATATCTTTATAAGGTTCCCTATATCCACAAGTGAAATGTCAATTTAATTTTTTCGCCAATCAAACCTCCAATGAAGATCTGCCTCTATAATACATTGACGTTCGAACATCTTAACAGGAGCCTGAACCGTTGGTTAGATAGAGACATTCCAGATGATGAAAAGATCAGAAGAATTGAAAGGCTTGTTACCACGTTCAACTAAAATGGAAAAGTTCGTTTCTGGGAGAATGTTACATGACAAACATGTTTAGATGTTGATGTATAGTTCTCAGGAAATTGTCCTGATGGTTGTAATTGCATAGTTATGTTGTTTAGTCGCTGTATTTGTTTGTTTTGTTGTTTAATTGTTTAAATTATTGTTACTTGTTGTTTTTAAATCATTGTTATTGAATGTTATGGTATTTATGAAATGAAAATTGTTGTTGATATAAAGAGAAACATTTACATTTAAAATCATGTTGTTGTGCTTGGTCCAACATTAGGACATTTTGTCCGATTGTGCCCGGGCTGACGACGTGAACTACATAATTTTACCATTTTGTTTGTCGTATCCATTTTTGTTCGAATACGTGCCAGACTATTTCCCCTTCATATGCAGGCTAATAGTCCTCTTTTGCTACCGCTGATAAGCTAGTGTTGTAGACATTGCATAGACTTATGACTTGGTAAACAACGATCAATAAGTTGGAAGGGTCTTGGCGAGCCTTTGAACATGCCGCTATGACATAGGGGCAAGGCAATGAAAGGCTTGAAACTTTTTGCAGTCACACCAACTTCTATCTAGTTCGACTCTGTATGATCCCCTCGGTCTTCCTTTATTGTGATCCATTGACTCATCAACACTAAACCAACCTTTATCGCAGTCAAACATTGTGACCACATGTGTGTTAGCTTTAACAGCTTCTACCTTAATAAATTTCATTGAACTATTACTGAACAACTGCCCAGATTGTAAGACAGACTCAATTTTGAACGTCTGATATCAAAAAATGCCCCAAGCCTAAAATAGGGTGCCCTTACCAAAACGTTTATTGGTAGGTTTCAGATGCCTTTGAATATAGAGTTCAAATTCCACGAGATTTTTTGTCATGTGGCCCTATCGTTGTCCATTGACGTATGCTCTGGTCCACTTCTCCAATTGAATATTGTCGATCCACCTTAATGCATATGCATTTTTTTATCTGATTTTTTCATGGTAGTGTTTGAAGGAAGGTTATATTAATACATACCTTGGGTTCTCAAACTTCTTCTACAGCGTTTTTTCTTTGATCTCCCGCGTGAAATTTTTAGCGATGTGCCTAATGCAATAGACATGCATTGAAGAAGGATCCTGCCACCCGTTATCAAAATTCTTATATGCACTCTCAATTGATGCATGTCTGTCCGATATCAAACATAAGTTAGGTTGAGGAACCACGTGTAATCAGATATTGTTTAAGAATAAACTCCAACCCCCAGCAGTCTCCCTTTCAACTAGAGCGAAGGCGATTGAAAAAATGTTGATGTTGCCATCTTGTGCCATTGCCTTGAGTAGCGTTCCTTTATATTTTCCGTATAACCATGTTCCATCAATTTGTATAATAGGTTTACAGTAGGCAAAACCTTTGATACATGGTTCAAATGCCCAGAAGAGTCGGTGGAATATGTCATTTCCACTAGCACAAGTCCCATCTAGGGTATATGTCAGCAAGGTCTCCAAAATGGCAACAGTTCTTGGAGCATACTGTTTAAGTGCCACCAAATATTTTGGAAGTTCTTTGTACGAATCCTCCCAATTTTCGAACACCGTTTCAACTTCCTTAGTCCTAGACATCCATGCTTTCCTATACGACTAAACGATATGCAAGATTATTATACTCACCTTCAATGACGGATTGTCGCTAATGACAAACATAATTTCATTGCATATTAACTGAGAGCCGAGTTTGCAATGATCCTGCATCATATTGGTGACTATACAAGTGTGCTTTGGACCCATAGACCTTATCTTCTAAGAATCGTTTCTCTTCCAGTAAGACGTTGTCAATCGGAACGCACATACCTCATTACGACAATAGATCTTATACAAAGTCACATTCGTTAGATCGACCCTATAATTAGTCGATAATTTCATGTGATATTGTTTTATAGCTCGGACACAGTCTTCTTTTGTTTAAAAATTGTCTCCCTCTTTTAATACTCCTTGTGTTTGCATATATGGATTGTAAAAAATATCTGAAGATGGTTCATTTGCGCTCAACTTCAGGTTTGTCATGTGTTGAGGTGGACAATAAACATGACTAGCCGCTAATGGGTCTTCCTCGTGGTCAGCAGTGGAATCGTTTACCATTTCATCAACCAAGACTTCAACTTCTTCTTTTTCATCTTCGTCAACAACATCAACTTCAGGTTGTTCATCGTCAGATTCACAAAAAACTTGAGAATGACCAACGAGTTGAGACATTTGATGTTGTTGTAGTATAATATAAAGCTCAATATCATTGAAATCGAAATAATCATGATTGAGAAACATATTATGAACACCCTCATCATCTCGAACCTTTAACTAAAAAAACTTAACTTGGTTATCGGCAAAAAACACTGGTATTACGAAAAAACACTAGTATCATAAAAATTTGTTCGTCTATTAGTTAAAAACCGAGTAACATTTGTATTACGAAAATTGAAACCAGTTATGGTACAATCAAATATCTCACCATTTATATGTGCATTGATCATGTATTTTGGTGTTTGAGTCGTACATACAATATTTTAGTGTACTAGTATTTGATAGAATTGTGGTGCAATAAAATTTTAGTTTCATGCATATTAATAGAGTTCTATTTTCATACAATAGAATTTTTATATATTTTTGTTTAGACTATACATGCATTAGTCTTGTCTCAATTATACATGCATGCTCGTTCAGACTATGCATGCATTAGTCTTGTCTCAATTATATCTTCTTATCTTTTTATCTTCTTAACTTTTTATGCCTACAAAGACCCTTTTTTGTCTACTTAATGCATGCTTTCCTACAAAAACCATATTCTTGTCTTCATTTGGCATGCATTCCATGAATCCTTCACTTTATGGCTTCAATTTTATTTTTTAATGGGATGCCTTACAAGATTCTCTTACAAGATGCCTTAGATTTTACACGATTCTCTTATCTTCAGCATACTTGTAAGATGCCTTACACCTTACACGATTCTCTTACAACAACAAGATTCCTCCATAAAAGAAGGTGCCATACCAAATGACAAATGTATTGGAAGTAACACATATGTGTCATATCAAATGACATGTGCTTTATAATTCATACATATGTGCCATTTTATATGGAGTAGGTATTCAAATTGCCATGCAAAAAACAATTCACGTGAACAAGCTCTAATCCTTATATGAATAGCCATGTCTTTCACACAACTTTCATCAACATATGCGCCATCTCTCAACATTCTTAATCTACCCACATTCTTAATCTCTCAACACTCAATCTCTCAACTTTCATAAAAAAATTGTCTCTCCTTACTATGGGTGATGAACACAGAGGAACAATTGACAATATTGCAATATTTGTAAGTTTTTAAGTTTACTAGTTTTGCTTCCTTATTTACTTAAAGATATAGTTTTTTTAAGAGTATGGTTTATTATTCTTACTAACCTAATTTCTTTATATCATTTTT